CAATTATAAAAAGGTGTTCTACCGCTGAATTTATTAAAATTTCTTATGTTGTTTTATTAAGGTTAAAATTTCATTTTGGTCCCTCAACTATTATACGGATTTTTGATTTGATCTTTGAATTGAAAAAATGTTTGATTTGGTTCTTACTGTTTATCATTTTAACCCTAACTTGGTCCTTCCGTTAAAAATTAATTTACGTGGATCGTTACTTGATGGGAAAAAGATGACATGTTAAATATCTTGACACGTAGGATTGACAATGTGGTAAGTTATAAAGATAAAATTACATTTTTACTCTCATCTTCAACAACACATCACTTTCTTTCCTTCCTCCTTTCATTGCCCCTTGCTTTTCATCTTCGACCTCTTTCGTTGTTCATCTTCTTCCCCTATATCTTTGTTTGTCGGCTTGGGTTTTAATCCTCTCCTTTTCTCATCTCCTCATCATCTCTCATCTCCTCTTCAAAACCCAGCAAATTTGCTAAGTTCTCAAGAACCCAACGATTTGTTGGGTTCAATTTCTTTTTTTTCCTTTTTTTTTTTTTTTTGCCTCTAATGTTTAGAAGCCTGAATTTTAGGGATATTTTTGGGTTACAGTCGATTATTTTGCTAATGAATATTTTGTTTGTGTGGACTGTTCTCATTGAGAATTTGGCAAAATTTGGTTATGAGGGAAAAAATTTGCATATGGTTGCTTATGATTTGAGACTTTTTTCTTAGAATATAGAGGTCGAATTCAAAGATTTGCTGGGTGGGTTCAATGGAACCCAGCGATCTACTAGGTTCTCAAACCTAATGATTTGTCAATTTGCTAAAGGTTCGGAACCTAGCAGATCTGCTAGGTTCAAAAGACTTATAAGATGCTTTAGTTTTATTTATTTATTTATTTAGAATTTGGGAGAAGATGCCTTGATTTTTCTGGGTTTTTTTGGGAGGTTGAGAGAAAGAATTTAGGGCTAATGACTGTTATGGGGAGATTTTGGGTTTGTGTTATTTTTTGATTTAATATTAGAAGGTGTTAGGGTTTGTATAAGGCAAAAGGAAACGAAGAGGAAGATGAAAGGGAAAAAAGGAAAATCAAAGGAAGAAAAAAAAATGAAAAAGGAAAAAAGAAATATTTAAGGTTTTTTTGCCATGCTGTAGCTTTTTCCGTCAGGTAATGGGACACATAAGTCGATTTTAAATGGAAGGATCAAGTTGGGGTTAAAATGGTAAATAATAGAGATTAAATTAGGGATTTTTTTTAGTTCAAGGATCAAATTAAGGATCTATACAATAGTTAAGAGACCAAAATGGGCTTTTAACCTTTTATTAATAATAATTTCATTATTTCATTATTTGGATATATTTTAATTAGTTATTTTTTATATTTTTTGTACATTTAATAATATATTATACAAAAAAAAATTTCTCTTTTTTTA